TGTTCGAACAGGTAAACTTTGTAATTTTTTGCAAATATTAGCTCATTTGGAATTTGATGCCTGCAACATGTTTCAAAAAAGCTGGCACAAGTGGCAAAAAAGACTGAGAGAGTTGAGGAATGCTCATCAAACACTTATTTGGCACATCCCACAGGTGAACGGGCTAATTGGGAACAGGTGGGTGCCATGATTGGGTATAAAAGCAGCTTCCTGAAATGCTCAGTCATTCACAAACAAGGATGGGGCGAGGGTCACCACTTAGTGAACAAATGCGTGAGCTGATTGTCGAACAGTTTAAAAACAACATTCCTCAACGAGCTATTGCAAGAAATTTAGGGATTTCATCATCTACGGTCCGTAATATCGTCAAAAGGTTCAGAGAATCTGGAGAAATCACTGCACGTGGCGACAAGGCCGAAAACCAACATTGAATGCCCGTGACCTTTGATCCCTCAGGCGGTACTGCATCAAAAACCGACATCAGTGTGTAAAGGACATCACCACATGGGCTCAGGAACACTTCAGAAAACCACTGTCAGTAACTACAGTTCGTCGCTACATCTGCAAGTGCAAGTTAAAACTCTACAATGCAAAGCGAAAGCCATTTATCAACAGCACCCAGAAACGCCGCCGGCTTCGCTGGGCCCAAGCTCATCTAAGATGGACTGATGCAAAGTGGAAAAGTGTTCTGTGGTCTGACGAGTCCACATTTCAAAATTGTTTTTGGAAATGTGAACGTTGTGTCCTCCTCGGACCAAAGAGGAAAAGAACCATCCGGACTGTTATAGGCGCAAAGTTCAAAAGCCAGCATCTGTGATGGTATGGGGTGTATTAGTGCCCAAGGCATGGGCAACTTACACATATGTGAAGGCACCATTAATGCTGAAAGGTACATACAGGTTTTGGAGCAACATATGTTGCCATCCAAGCAACATCTTTTTTCATGGACGCCCTGCTTATTTCAGCAAGACAATGCCAAGCCACATTCTGCACGTGTTACAACAGCATGGCTCCGTAGTAAAAAGAGTGCGGGTACTAGACTGGCCTGCCTGTAGTCCAGACCTGTCTCCCATTGAAAATGTGTGGCGATTATGAAGCGTAAAATACGACAACGGAGACCCCGGACTGTTGAACAACTTAAGCTGTACATCAAGCAAGAATGGGAAAGAGTTCCACCTGAAAAGCTTCAAAATTGGTCTCCTCAGTACCCAAACGTTTACTGAGTGTCGTTAAAAGGAAAGGTGATGTAACACAGTGGTAAAAAGGCCCTGTGCCAACTTTTTTTTGCAATGTGTTGCTGCCTTTAAATTCTAAGTTAATGATTATTTGCAAAAAAAAAAAAAAAAGTTTCTCAGTTTGAACATTAAACATCTTGTCTTTGCAGTGTATTCAATTGAATATAAGTTGAAAAGGATTTGCAAATCATTGTATTCTGTTTTTATCTACGATTTACATAACGTGCCAACTTCACTGGTTTTGGGTTGTACAAACGGGAAGTCACATGCTATGATAGGGAACAGGTGAGCTGGATCAGACTAATTAACAAAGGGCTGAACATGAGGAAGTTCCTAACTACATAAATTTGGCAAAAGCCAAAACGTGGACAGGGATCACGAAGACAGCCTACAGACAGACATACGGCTCCGGTTAGGGAGTTCTATCGTGCACAGAAAAGGAGAGAGAACAGAGTTGAACAAGCACAGAGGTTCCGCTGAAACTGCAGCAAAGTAGATTGAGTAAAGACAAGAGGCGGAGACTAGAATAGGGCGAATGCTGAGAGATTGTTAATCAATTAGTAAAGTGCAGCTATACAATCCCTAGTGCTCGTTAGTAAGTTAGTACTATAAACAATGTTAGTTTTGGTTTGTAAGTTTAACTAAAATAACAAACTTTTAGCATTGTTAGTAATATAGAAAAGCAAGGTGAAGGAAGTAAACGAGATTGGAAGGAATGATTGAAATCCCAGAAACCATTAAATCACCCGAAAGAGTGGCACGCAATACTGGGGCTGTGAGCAATCACAAGACATGAGACCAGACAGGGGGAGACAAAGTGCAATGCATGGTGAAAAACAAAACATGGACCGGAGTAAAACTGCAATGATGGAATATGGAAGACATACATAGACAAAGCAAAAACAAAACATGGCAAGGCATCTAAATCACAATACAAAATACAGAGCATGGTCAGACAAGGCAGAATTCAAAATGAACATGGCAAACAGGGCAGAATCACAACACATCTGTGAAGACAGAATTAATGACGAACAATATATACAGGTCTTGGAGCGATATATACAGCCACCAAGACATTTTTTTTCTGGTAAGGCTTTGCTGATTTCAGCAAGAGAATGCCAAACCACATTGTGCGCGTTACAACATTATGGATCCATAGTAAGAGATTCCGGGTGCTAAACTGTCCTGCATGCAGTCCAGACGGGTCCTGCCCTTGTCCAGCAGTTCCTGTGTGTTTTGCAGTTTGTCTCCTTTAACTGATTGACAGTCTTGTCTTCTCTCTTGCCCCCGGTGTTATCATCTATATACCTTGTCCCTTTTTTGGAGTGTGCCGTCTGTATAATTTTCTTGTGGTGTCAGGGTGGTTGTTGGATTGTCATGGTTCATTCCCTACTAAAGGAGGTTTTGCAGGGTATAGGCAAATTTGCCCACATCCCAATTTGAACCATCTTCTTATTATGGCATACAACAATGTTGAATGTTTTGTGGTTCACAAAATCATTGAAGCGTGACGACAAGCGCAGACTACGCTTTGCTCAGTGGAGTAAAAACAAGGCCTGGGAGATATAGAACCTATACAATGTACAACAGTGTATGAAAACATCTAAATGGCTTTTCTTAGAAATATTTAGTATATAATAAAAATGGCTTGAATACACCACTGTTAACTGATCTTATCACAATTACAGGTGATCCTGAAAGTGTTAGTACATCCTAATAAATTTACATACAACTATATACTATATATAGTAACAATCTATATTTGTCTAATCTTAAAAGGACAAATGTGTTTCAGATGTATTGTAGTTATGATCCAGAATGATCCGGAAGGCCAATGTATCGTCAATCATGTACATATACTCTAAGACTCTTAATTTGGATAAGTATCGATAACAAGCATTCCATGTTTATTATTTAGTGACCTATTTTGACACTCAAAGGAGATAGTAATAATTTCTAAATACAGGGATGGTTCCAATTTTCGCAATCCGGATCCATGTTACCGGTCTGGCAATTTAACGACACTCGCACATGATTTAGCCAACTATATGAGGCAACTTTTGTGAAAATATCTTAGGTGTGTTTTCATGGGAACCTGGTTGTTTTTCAAGATGAACTTTACATTTTGCATCAATTTTGGTCAAGACAGATGCATTTTTCAATGGGAAATTGTCTGAAACTTCTTCAGTTTTTTCACATATATACTTATGTTTGGTATCAAAATGTCCATCATGTTGTTGTGTAGCCATTAAAAATCATCTGGTTTTTCAGAACAATCATTTATGGGTTTAAATATGGACTTTTTGAGGCCTTGCCCCACAAAAATCTTGGAATCACGAAATAGGTCACAGTATGCAAATTTCACATTTCAAATCTATTTTCTGGACAGTCCCACAAGTAGGTACATATAACCAGAAGATGGTTAAAATTGGGCTGCGGGCAAATTTGCCTACACTCTGCAAAACTTCCTTTCCACAAAAAACCCAGAAAAAGACCAAAAAAAAAAAAACAGACAAACCACAGTTAATGCCAAACAGAACAATAATCTAATACAACCGTAAGGAGGCCAAATTGGCCAACGCTAAATCAACAGCAAAGTACAATTGCATTCATTTCGCAAGAGCAAGAGCAGGATTGTACCCTGAATTTGCATTTGGGTCCTCGTCTGGATCATAACTGAAATTAATCTTTAGACCTTGCTCCCTACACCACCATACACCAAAACTCTTAATTGAAGAGCCTCATGCTAAAAGTACTTATGCTACATTTTCACACACCGTGAGTTAAGGATGGGAAAACATCTTTTGGAGTCTCCTAAGTTGATTTTGTCAATTTTCTCAAAATAGCTATTTTGTGACTGAAGCACTTTTAGCACGAGGGTCTTCAATTTTATTCAATACCACAGTTACAAAAGTGTAATAAGTTATAGCCTAATCATAATTGATAATGAAAAGGCAAAATGGAATGTAGAGGAATTATAATAATAACACTAATCGCAACAGTAATAAAAGCGATGACAATGGCAAATTAATCAATTGTGACTATTGAGCTTTTTGTCATTTTCTGATGACATGATATATTTATATGATATATCTTGGTCTTTGCCGTCCATCTGTGAGTGCAGTCATGTTTTTGCCTGCATTTTCTTAAAAAGAAGAAAAGAAAAACTAGCGGAAATATTTCAATGTTTATTGCAGGAGAAACTGAATATCATTCTCGGAAATCGTGCCCATGCTCACCACAGCACCCAAAAGCAATCCAGCGAGAACAGGCTGTATTTCTGACCAACATGTGGTTTGCTTGTTTTTTGCTGAAGTTATGACGCTACGCCAGCATTCCTTTTTTTCTGTCATGAACCACTGACCTTGTCATTGACCATTGCAAAGTCTAGAGTGCGCCCAACAGCACAACGCAGGAAAACAAGTCCATTCCCTGCTGAAATCAATTTCTCTATGGATAGAGGAAGGATTGCCTCATACCTAGAGTTCAATGTCATGTTTTGCCACGTTGCAAAGGTGTCCAGTGTGTGTGATAGATAAGATAAGATACCCCACGGGATTCAATAAAGTGTAATTTGTCCTCTGCATTTGACCCATCCTATAGTTAGGAGCAGTGGGCAGCACCCGGGGACCAACTCCAGTTCTAAAGCCAGTTCCTTGGTCAGGGGTACTGGTTGGAGTGTTCCTATGATGCATGTTTTTGTGGGTGGGGGAAACCGGAGTACCCGGAGAAAACCCACGCAAACATGCAAACTCCACGCAGAAAAGCCCCAGGCCAGAATCAAACCCACGACCTTCTTGGTGTGAGGCAACAGCGCTAACCACTGTGCCACCGTGCTGCCCCCTTTTTTCTATTTTTTTTTTTTTTTTTTAAGATAGCGACAGTCTCAATGTTTCTTAACCTGCAGAGAATCTTCCAATTACTATTGAGAAATGCTTTGAATTCAAGTGCTTTTGAAAACCTGTTTGCAAGAAGTACCTATGCCGCAAAATAACACTTTTGAGATTATGGAGGACAAAGTTTTCAAAATATACAGCGGATAATCTTTTTAATGGTTGCAGACTATGGAGCATATTGCTGTTTCCAGGGGCTATAGAGAGCTGACAACCCCTTCTTTTGTGAAAAAAATACTCATGAATTACAAAGTAAATGAGAAAATTAGTACTGGACATTTTTTTTTTTGCTAAATAACTGGACTTAAGTTCATTTTAACACTAAATGGCTGGACTTGAGTACTTTTAAAAAAATGAAGCCGATTGACCAGACTCCATGGTCACCATTTTCACTGCTCATCATGTGAAATATACAAGCATGTTGATTGGACAGTCATGAACATGTACTTCTTGCTCAAACATTATGGACTTGGGTATTTCTTGCACTAAAGGTGAATGTGAACTAATTGACTATGGCAACACACAAAGCACGGGACTTGAGTACTTCCTCTGAGAAATCTTTGGTATCAGATGATGTTCTAGCCATTGTGGCTCTTGATACTGGTGTCAGCTCAGTTTTTGCAAAATGTGCGTTAGGCCTTCTTGCACGCTGGTCCTCATTTGTATAAGTTAATTTTTCTGAATAGATTAATATTTTTCTTCTTTTCGAGCAATGAAATCTGAGGTGTTGCATTTCCAGTTCTTGAGATATTAAAACCCAAAATATGAGAGAGAAAAAAAGCAAAGTACACATTATATTGGCGTTTGCTGTGGAAAAAAAAAAGTTTGGTGTATTGGACCACCTGCCATGGTGGAACTTTTTTAGTCGCATTCATCTTGGGCTGAAATCGTACAAGACACCATCCTTTTCTTTCATCATTAGCACCTCTGACATTTTTTCTTCTTTGCTAATGAACTGCTTCTGTTTCTCTACCCCCCATTTGCCCTGCAGTGAAGCGCGATGAGGACTCTTTCCATTCGGATGAATTGGTTTCCATGGCCGTCATTCGCTCCATTTAGTCATCAGTAACACTATCCCACCCTTTGCACTATCCCCAAAAAAGAGGAAGTATTTGCGAAAGTATATGGTTGTATGGTTGTTCTCGGAGATACAGTTGTGCTAAGACGCACAGTGACGTTAGGTTGAAAGATTCAGTCCTGATTTCTGTTCTTATCTGGATTTGCTGTGGAAGAAATCTTGTCTGTGCATTAATGACTGTGTTATTGGCACGAATGCTGGAAGCGCTCAAAACATATGTTCTTCTTGGCACAAACATTCTATTTATTGGTCACGTTATGTTTTTGTATGTGCAAACATTCTAAGTATTTTTACCTCTGCCATGGGGGTAATGTTTTCACCTGTTTTATTTCGGCATGTCTGTTGATCGGTTTGGTTTTTCTGTTTATCTGTACGTTAGTTTGCAATTTCAAGCAAAAACAATGGGCCACATTTCATTCTAAGTTGGCTCATATAGTTGGCACTGGCATTTAGTTTAGGCCTATTGAAAATGACAACTCTAGTCTCAAGGTCAAGGTCACCAATGAAGACTTTGGCATGTCTTTGCTCTACGAGCGATTTCATTTGTTTGTTTGTTTGTCTGTCTGTCGGTCTGTCTGTCCGTTAACAGCATAACTCAAAAGGTATGAACAGTTTGGCATGAAACTTGGTCGGATGATAGGTGGTGGTCCAAGAATGAGTTGATGCAATTTTGGAAGTGATTCTGAACATGTGCTGGATTCTGAATCCAGAAGAATTAAAATACATCTGTCTAACGTGGGTCTGTGTGATATTTCTGACCGGATAACTCAAAAAGTTATGAACTGTTTGGCACGAAATTTGGCAGGATGATTGGTGGTAGTCCAAGGAAGAGTGGATTTATTTTGGAAGTGGTCCGGAACATATTCTGTCACCAAAAGAACAGATATATGGCGTGGCAGAGGTATGCGCTCTAGTGAGTGCCATCTAGTTGGTTTTATTTATATCATAATTCTGTCATGTTTTTAGGCATTTAACTAATTCCACACTTTCCAACATAAAAAAATTATTCGATCATCAAAATATTCAACCCATTTAGGGAATTGTCGTTCTTCAAAATTTTAGTTATACAAATGACAGTTTATTAATTATTAGCAACTGAAAATACATGGTGGAATGTAAGAGTGCCAGACTTCTGTGATGTTACGACACACTCACTGAATACTCCACAGACTTGACGCACTTTTTTGTGTTTTGTGTCAAGACTGTTCTTTTTCTTCTAGTGCTGTTTCCATGTTCCCCACACACACAACGATGCAACCATTTTATTTCTGAATGAGTCCCTATGTTCTCCACACAGTCTGCAACTAGTGCTTTTTTAGCTTATTTACAATGGACTTCAATTTGAATAACCCACATCTTTTACTCATTGTTGCTATAATTCAAACTTTTTTAAGCTAGCAATGCAATTTAGCATCAGCTGTCCACATAGACAGATTAAGAGACATCAGGCCCCAATGTTTGTACGGTCACAGCATTACTTCAAATGGAAATATCTATATCAAGTACATATTTTATACACATTTCCCTGTTATTCACATGGACATATTTGGGATTGTCAGAAACCTTTGGATCTCCACTAGAATTTAAAATGGGCCTGAAGTTTTACAATTTTGAATATAGCCGCTACATTTAATGGACTCCAATTGGGGGCCTCTCAGGCTTAAAAGGTTAAAGGAGCCTATAATCAAGTGATACACCACAAAAATAATAAACAAAACTATAAATTAATGAATCAATTAATCAGGAAATCTCCCTATCTATCTCTCTCTCTCTCTCTCTCTCTCTCTCTCTCTCTCACACACACACACACACACACACACACATATGTGCAGGCCCATGTTATATGATTGAGGGGCCTTTATGGGTCCTTATGAACCATGACTTTCCAGAAATACCACATAAACAGCTCATTTGCGTGTGTGTGTGTGTGTGTGAGTGTGTGTGTGTGGCGGAGGGTTCATATCTATGACCATATGAGAGGCCCCTTGGACAGAACTTGATCGCACTTGATTTGAACTTGGTCTTTGGATTTCTCTCCACAGAGCTGAAGGGCCCATATTACATGGAGCACCTCTAAAGTCCTGTGGATAAACCAAGGCCATAAACACCCACTTAAAATGCAACATTATGGTTTCTTTCTAGTAATGTCTTCAAAGTGAATTTTTAGGCTATTCCTTCAGTTTGCCAGTAGGACTTTAGTTATTGACAGGAACGAATAGGCCCTTTGACTATGCAACAAGAAATACAAAGTGACTTTGCGTGAAGGCTCAGGGCGCCCAAGGGCCCCTTGAGCCCTTGGGCCCCTGGGCCTGGGCCTGGTAGGCCTGTTCATTAATCCATCCCTGGCTGTCCAGCTTGACTCCCCAGTTTCTTCAAGAATTGCCTTCTGTAGTTACGCTGGATCTGAGCGCAGCTTCAAGAGCTTGTATCACCCTTGCATGAAGCATTCCCTCCAGAGGCAGAGCCAAAATGAAGAAAGAGCAAATATTCACTGAAAGTGCATGTTTTAGAGAAACAATCAGGATGGTTGTCTTGCTGTAGTGAGGGTCAAGGCGTGGCAAGACAGATGATGTGTGGACAGATGGGGCCAGTGGTCAGTGGTCTGACTGGGAGAGGTTACTGGGATGGGCAGCTGTCTGCTTGGATGTCATGGATCGTTACCTGCCTTTGGAACTGAAAGGACTGACCTGCCAGTGTCGGACAGATGAATCTATATCATGTTTCTCATGTTTTGCACAAGTTCTTCCCAAATGATGTTCGATCACTCCTGTGTCTCTCACTAAGGCAGACAGTTTCATTGTCCAATCAATGCTGTAGTTAGTAAAACGTAAAATGTCAACTTTTGTTCTGTTCACCTTTGCTAGTATCGTCGATAAATTTCAATTCCAAACAATGAGGGTAACATAAGTAGTTTAAGATTTTCTACAACTGCGGATTGATTTTTTTTTTTTTTTTTTTAATAAATCAGATATAGCAATGGCACGGGTTGGCATAAATCATCTTCATCCAGATAATAGTGAAATGAAACAATGTTTTTGCAAAGTTTATTGTTTTGAGTTAAGAAAATGACAAGAGCCCAATTTTAGAGTACTGTATCACTGTCTATAAAATACATCACACAAAAATGTTTTTAAAGTAAGTGAAGTAACTCTGGAAAACACAGCAGAGTGTATGTCCATGAATATTAGTGTACCTGCCCGCACTGGATAAAACAGAATTCTGTGGTTGGCCATAGAAGTTAAAGATACTGCCTCATATTTGGCAGTTGCACTTCGTAAACATGAAAAAAACACCTACGAAATTAAATTTGACACAATTATTAACCAAATCAAATGCAGGTTCAATATATGGTTATCGAGAGATTTGTCATGACAAGGAAGAATTCTTTTATCAAAGGCTAAAGGGCTTTCAAGATCTGTATGTGCATCACTTTCTTAAGATACACTGTACCAAATGATATTTATGTAATATTTATTTCACAAATATTGAATTTCATCTGGAAGAATAAACCTCAAAACTTAAAAAAACTATATTTTGTATTAACAGTAACAATAATGGGGGCCTGAAAGTCTAAGATTATAAAAAAAAAAAAATTAGCTATAGCTTTAAGGGGTCTTCAGGGTAAAGTGTAGAAATAACTCTAATAATGTAAAAACTAAGAAATAAACATACTCAACATGATTTTAACCTCATAAAATGTAGTATTTTAATAAAAATGTACATGGTTGCCATGAAAACTGCACTTTAATGACAAAATCTGAAAATATTTTGTGGCACAGATATTTCAATAACCCATGGTCAGATTTTACTCAAATTAGTCTCATATGAAAGGTGTAAGATAGTTATATGAAATGAAATAGGATTTTCTT